TGTGGGAGGCCATTTTTTGGGTTCCTCGTGGCTTTACCCAGCAGGTCCGCATAGAGAGGAGGATTAGGACCACGGGCCTGAGTGCAGGTATCTGACATGGTCTGCACTTGGCTGTGCTGGGGGTGGAGGTCTTTTGCTTCACCCCTTGGCATCTCTATAAAAACCCTGGGGCAGAGACAGTCAGGGCCCGTTGGAAAAGGTTCCAGGCCCTCTCGAGGCTATCCTTTATTTTCTATCTGTTTATCTCTGCAATAAATCCTTCTATCTAATATTTCCTGCTGCTGCATTCAAGAAAACTCTGGGGAACTGTGGGGTTGGTGGGTAAATGCCCCACAGTGGGGGAGAAAGGCAAGAAACAAGAGCCACCAATCTGGCTCCTGATAGGTAGAGACTTACCTCACTGCCCAGCAGTGCTCTGGATACGGCTCAGGGTCAGGGCGGAAGCTCTGAACTATAAAGGTGGACGCCTTTTTCTCTCATCTTCACAGATGAGAAAACTGAGACGTAGAGAGGCTGAGTCGCTCTCCCAGGGCCACACCGCTGGCAAACAGCCAAGCTGGAATTCGGGCTGTCAGAGTGGCCCCAGAGTTCCCGTCATTCCCTTATATTGTGGCCTTTGATGGCACGACAAAAAATGTGTGTCTTAGAATTGCTGCTCACAATTCTTCCCCTCGTTACCTTCTCACTGCAAAATAAAACTCAGAAACTCACACGAGTGCACAGCTTAGAGAGGTGCTGTAAGGAGAACCCCTCAGTCCCCCTCAGGATACCTCCATGTGCCCCATCCAGGTTAATGTCTTTTCTTCCTCACGGAACTCACCACCACTCTGGCTTCCAAGGCACAGTGTGCTCATGCTTCCTTGCACTGTTGGAACATGAAGGTGTGTCCCTAACACTGCGGTGCTTATCTGTTTGTGGCTTTGACTGTCTGTTGAGTACCTTACTCTCAACAGGTTTCCTTTTCTGTTCCTTTCTTTATTTTTTTAACTTTTTAATTTACTCTTTGTGATTTTCACATCATGCATTTGGATCCTATTTATCTCCCCATCCCTTCATATCCACCCTCTGCCCTTGCAAACTATCCTCCCTCCCAATAGCATAAAATTGAAGAGAAAAGAAAAAAGAAAAGGAAAAATCTCATCCTAGAAGCTGTAGTGTGACATCGTGAGTCACACAGTGTACAGTTTAGTCCATTTATCTTTACTTGCAAGTGTTCATTGCTAAGAGTCATTGGTCTGGTTCGAGGCCTCTGGTGTCCACTATACTTTCTATACTGGATCCTCACTGGGGCGCCTCTTGGATATCCTGTTGTTGTCCTGTGTCATGAAGATCCTGCAGCTTTGGATCTACAGGACTGGTGCCTTCCCATGCTCCGGCAGATTATAGATGGGAGGGGCCAACTCATAGCCCTGGTCTGGGACTGGGGAGTTGCAGGGTTGGTCCACTGTCTGCCAGCTATCCCTCATCATCCCCATCAGGCATTTGACCTGTAGATTCCTACCATCTGGCCCCTGCTGATTACACACCCTGTGGTATGTAGTCAGAAGATTTCCTGTGTCCTGGCTGACGGTCAGGACAAATCTCTCCCACTTGCGTCCCCCAAGTAAACACACAGAGTCTTACATTAATTATAAGTGCATGGCCATGGCTCAAGCCTTTTGCTAGCTAGCTCTTATATCTTAAATTAATCCATAACTATTAATCTACGTATCGCTATATGTTCTGTGGCTTTACCTGTGTCCCATTACATGTTGCTCCTTGGGCAGCTTGCTGGGGTCTTTCTCTGCCTTCTTCCTGTCTCTCTGTAGCATGAATCTTAAAAGTTCTTATTAATAAAATCAAACCTGAGGCCAGATATTGGGGTGAATACTGGAAGATCAGAGAAGCAGAAGAAGCCACAGCTACCTCATCTTGCCAATTCCTCAGCTGATCCTGTTTTCTCAGACTGGATGCCTCTGAGTCCTCATCCAGAATGAATCTCAGCTGAACTGCGTTGCTCAAAAGCCTAAAAGCTTAACTAGCCAAAAGCTTCTAGTTTCTGGTCCTCATGCCTTATATACCTTTCTACTTTCTGCCATCACTCCCTGGGATTCAAGGCGTAAGTCACCATGCTTGGCTGTATCCAATGTGGCCTTGAACTCACAGAGATCCAGAGGGATTTCTGCCTCTGGAATGCTAGGATTAAAGGCGTGTGCTACCACTGCCTATCCTCTATGTTTAATATTGTGGCTGTTCTCTTCTCTGACCCCAGATAAGTTTATTAGCGTGCACAATATTTTGGGGAATACAATACCACCACATCTGTCTCTTTGAATTTCCTGCCTGCCTCTAAGCTGCTTTGCCATAGGCCAAATGGCTTTACTTATGAACCAATCAGAGTAACACATATTCGCAGTGTACAGAAAGACATTCCCCCATCAGTGGTACAAATCACCATGTTCTCTGCCTTCTAGATTTACTCAAATAGGAGCTGCATCTGGAGAGCTGGTGAGTGCCCGTTTTGGTCTTTGGTAAGGTCCTGGGTGGTAATTTGTCTTGTCATTCCATGTAACCTCTGGTTGTTTATTTTCTCATGACAGCAGCTGCCGATGTCCTATGCTGAGATGTATTCATTGAGCTGGAGTGTAAGAAGGTGGAAGACAGTCCCTTTCACTTCTTTCTCATTTTTTAATTATTCCATTGGAGCACACTTATAAATTTTTTTAACACAAAATTGGAAATGATAATATGCAAGCAAAAGACAACTAAGACAAAGAATAATGCCCAAACAAGGCAATATAAGACAAAAAGTCTACAAAAATATCGTTGGGTTTGCTTTGTGTCGGCCATCTACTGCTGGGCACGCAGCCTGCACTTAAGTGTGGTTAGTACACCTAATGAGACTCCATTTGCATTTCCCCTTGTTTTGCTTTTTCTTGTCTTTTCATTCTGTCTTTGCTGTTGCCTGTTCATTTTCTGGAAAGAGAGAGAGAGAAAAAAAAAAGGGCATGGAGTTATTAGGTAGGTGGGGAGGTGGGAAGGATCTGGGAGGTATTAGTGGAGGAGAAACTGTGATTAGAATATACTGTAATGTCAGCCGGGCGGTGGTGGCTCATGCCTAATCCCAGCACTTGGGAGGCAGAGCCAGGTGGATCCAGGACAGGCACCAAAACTACACAGAGAAACCCTGTCTCGAAAAAACAAACACAAAAAGAATAACTCTATGTCTTGGTTAGGGTTTCTATTGCTGCCGTGAAACATCATGACCCAAAAGCAAGTTGGGGAGGAAGGAGTTTTTTTGGCTGACTCTTCCACATTGCTTTTCATCTCTGAAGGAAGTCAGGACAGGAACTCAAATGGGGCAGGAACCTGGATGCAGGAGCTGATGCAGAGACCATGGAGAGGAGCTGCTAGTAGGCTTACTCCCCTTGTCTTGCTCAGCCTACTTTCTTATAGAACCCAGGACCACCAGCCTAGGGATGGTACCACCTACCATGAACTGTGCCCTCCCTATTGATCACTAATTGAGAAAATGCCTTCCAGCTGGGTCTCATGGGGGCATTTCCTCAACTGAGGCTCCTTCCTCTCTGATGACTCTAGCTTGTGTCAAGTTGACATACAAAATCAGCCAGTACATCGTATAAATTTTTTTCAATAAAAATATTAAAAAATAAGCTTTTCCTCAATTGTCTCATTACTTATCAGGACTTTCACGTATCAAAAGTAGAAAAGATATTTTATTCTTTCCATTTATGTACTGGTTCCCCCCTCCCCTACTCACTGCGCCCCAAAGTCAGTTGAGTCCCTTATCTTCTAATCAAATTTACATAAAGCCATTCATTAGCATCTGCAGAGGACTGATACCAGGAAACCCCATGGGTGCCAAAATCTGCAGATGCTCAGGTGCCTCACAGGCAATGCAAGGCATTTGCACAAAAGCTGTATACATCCTCTGAAACACGTCAGACCATGTCGAGCTTACTTACAGTCCTGATGCAGTGTGCCGGCTAAACGGCTGCTCCATTGCATCAGTCAGGGAATGAGGACAAGAACTAAAACAAGGCAGGTGAAAATTGTTTCCTCTTTTTTTTTTTTTTTTTAATCTACAGCTAATTCAATCCACAGATATGAATCACAGATACAGGACCAGCTGTCCCTCTATGAAATTATTTTAACCTAATTGATGGGAATGAAATAATTACAATTATTCTTCTTCCCAATGCTCAGAATTTCCCCTCTTTGGTCAATGGGCATCTCTTCAAGTCAGCTCCTGAGTGTTTCTGATGTGCTCTTATAGGTCCTAACAGCTTTCCCCACTAGCTAGCAGAACAAGACCTCAAACCAAGAAATGTCCATTTCTCTAGTGTCCTTTAAGGGGAAATGACGCTGCAGGGCCACATCTGGACAATTGGGATGCCATGACCACGGAGTTGCTCATTGTTCTTTTTTTTTTTTTTTTTTTTAAAGATTTATTTATTTACTTATTACATACACAGAAGAGGGCACCAGATCTCATTACAGATGGTTGTGAGCCACCATGTGGGTGCTGGGAATTGAACTCAGGACCTCTGGAAGAGCAGTCAGTGCTCTTAACCTCTGAGCCATCTCTCCAGCCCCCCTGCTCATTGTTCTTAAGCCTTGTCTATAAATGGAGCCTGGATTTCCTGCATGCATACATATGCAACTGATATGCACACACTACATGCCTTTTGTATGCATGTTGTACCCAATACAAAGGAATTTTATTTGAATGATAGGTTTTGTCCCTCATTGCTAGTCTAGACTCCCATCAACACAGCCCACTATTTGACATGTAGCAACCCATCTTAATGTATTAAAGGCTTAGAGAGAAAGGGAAGTAACTCTTTAATTCCATTAGAAAAACCATTCTAGGAATCCCCTTGAGGATGCCCCCCTCCCCCTCCCTTCCTCCCTCCCTTCCTCTCATACCAAGAAAATATGAGGGTACCAGACTCGATAGTCAATTTCTACTTTCCAAACAGGAAAACATCATCCAACAGTCCTTTGCACGTGTGTGTGCATCGTGGGGTGAGGCTCTGTTGGAGGTACAGGGTGTTTCTGAGAAGAGAAGCCAGCCCACCTGCACGTTGCTCTTACACTGAAAGTTGGCAAGTCCAGACTGAAGAATACTCTGTACAGATCAATAACAATGCATCTCTTCATTAAGGGAGTTAACAAGTACATGACCATGAATCCTAACTCCGGCTGAAATAACAGGCTATAAAAGACCTAGAAGGGGTTTGGAGGAGCACTGGATTAAGGAAAGACGAGAAGCGTAAAAATGGGATGGCATCCGTAAGAGTCGACAGTCAATATTCAGTGCCTGTCCCACTTTAACGGAAGCTGAAGAAAGGCCCTGCCTGAACCAACGTGCTCATGGAAGCAGGCCTCGCATCTAAACCCTGCGCCGCACAGTGCACGGGGAACGCCTCTCGCATGCTGCAATACACTATGCGAATGAACTAACTGTGTGATTATTAGAGAGCATTTAATTAAATTCAAAACTTCTTCTTTTATAATTATCTTGACCAAGCCTATGTGCCCCTGCATGTTTTTTCAAATGAAAAGCATAGGAACGGGAGAGCACCCAGGCTGGCTGCCTCAGGGTGCCCACGGGGACGCCAGGGAGACGGCTGTGATCATCATCATCGTCGTAAAAGTAAGAGCTGGAGGTTGAAATGGGGCCAGCCCCCTGGGCTTCCCACCAAGAGAAAGCACGGGGCATAACCTTCGGAGGCTCACAAGTGCGTACATGCCCTTCGTTGTTTACCGGAATTCGGACCACACGGAGTTTAGGGAGGCAGCCCGGCTCCAGAAAGTTCTAGAGAGTGTAGAATCCCGTAGCGGGGCACTGGGTGGGACCTTGGGGAGCAAAAAAAAAAAAAAGGCAGGGAGAACGTGTGTGAGATGTCAGGAAACTGAAACAAATGAGTTTTTAAAGAGATAAACCAAAGGGAAGATTGTGGATGGACCTCCTGTAGGCCTCTAATGACAGATTTAGGATGGGAGTCACAGCCACACTATCCTCTGGAAGAGACTTCCCTGGTGGGACAGAGTAATGAAGGACCTGTAAAGTAGTGCTGTGGCTGTGGATGGGCTGAGCCAGAGTCTTTCAGAATATCATTTTCTCTAGACTGGAATCCGACTTGTGAAACAGACCTTTCCAGAACGCCACGAGAGCGGCCCTCCCACATCTGTCCACAGCAACCCTTGTCTGTCTGCACCTACAGGGCTTCTTCATGGAATCTCCTTAAAGAGATCGAGAAAGAATTGGCAAATATGTGACCCAGGAGTCTGAAAGAATTAATTTACGCAATTTACTCAGATTTCCTTCGTTGTGAGGATATACAGCAAAGCAAATGTCGGAAACACGTGGCTTAGAAAACAGATTCCTGCTCTCTTCCAATGCAATGTTAAGGTAAGAGACAATCTACGGGGGGAGCTGGAGAGATGTCTCAGAGGTTAAGAGCACTGGCTGCTCTTCCAGAGGTCATGAGTTCAATTCCCAGCAACCACATGGTGGTTTACAACCATCTGTAATAAGATCTAGTGCCCTCTTCTGGTCTGCAGGCAGACACACAGAACACTGTATACATAATAAATAAATAAATACATCTTTAAAAAAAAAAAAAGAGACAATCATGGGGAAAGAATACGATCAACCATATTACATTATGTTTATTATATAAATAGGTAATATATTTTTAAAAATGAAATAAAAAACACATTAATAAAAATAAATAAAACTGAACACACACACACACACACACACACACACACACACACCACATCTGCACACACAAAGATTTCAGACAATCAGACTTTAAAAAACTGCCTAACTTTTAAAATATGCATGTCAGAGGTAAGTTGCCTGGACTCAACAGCAGCTCATTCACTTGGGTCCTCTCTCCCTACCTCTCTCCCTCTCTCCACCTTCCTCTCTCCCTCTCTCCCCCTACCTCTCTCCCTCTCTCCCCCTACGTCTCTCCCTCTCTCCCTCTCTCCCTATGCCCTCTTCCTCGCCCTTTCTCTCTCATAGTTCAACTCAGTGTTCCAGAAACACCCTCATTTTACTCCATCACAAAGAACATACTTCTGCTACCCAAAGTAACTGGCAACATGAAGAGCCTCTGTGCCCCAGCTCCAGTACCTTGTGACCCTTAGTCCTAAGAATGGAGTCTTCCTGTCCCTCCAGAAGGGACTTTCTGAAGGGGCAGAAGCATCCATGTCTGTGGGCCTCTGGATGCTGTGTCTTCCCGGCTTGGGTTTGTGCCCACAGCTACCCTTTTCTCTGCTCTCCATTTCTGCCCACCCTTCCTCCCAGCCATTTCTCTGTTTTCAATCCAGTGGCCATGAGGAGCCACTGCTTATGTTTCTGACTCCAGGGCCTTGTTCTTGGGCCCACCAGTCTACTACTGTCTCCTGGCTGGTGGCCTCACCCACCCACAATTAGCAGAACTCAGCCCACCCAGGTCTAACAGCAATCAACAAATTGGGTTGTAACTGCCATCCGTTTTTGGAGGGAAAGATTCTGAAGTCGCCTTACAGTCACCTTGTCATGGGCTCCAAGTCTGTCGGGAATGAAAGGATGTAAAGGAAGGGAATGTGTCGTAGGAGCAATTCAAAGGGTGCTCCAGTGAAAGTGATCCTCCAGCTTCAGGAAGATTTCCTCAGTGTGTTATCACCAGAGAAGACTGTCCTTTTACAGTAAAGAAAAAAAATTAACCAGGAGCAGTGAGAACGGCACCTCTACAATTAATATATTCACTGAAACTATACTTGAATGAAATGAGCAGCGTTGGACTATAGTTGAACAAACAAGATATTTAAAGCAAATCAAATAATCTTATGTATAGGTACAAGGAGAGGGGTTGGTATATGTCTGTGTTGCTTCATCCTTTCTCCAGCAAGTATCCTGCTGGGCTTGATGAGCTGGGCTGCAACTCTACCCTCGGACCTGTTCCTCACCTTCTGAGCTTCCTCTCATTCTGAACCGTCTTGAGAATGAAGGCCCTAAGGACCCAAGGCTTCTTCATTTACACAAAGAGGTACACTGACCCCATTCCCTATGCCTAGGTACTCAGGGCTTCTCCATCAACACAAAGATGTACACCAACCCCTCTTCCTGTACCTATACCTAAGATTATTTGATTTGCTTTAAATATCTTGCTCCTAGCAGCACCAATCTACTTCAGAGAAGACGATGGGCATCTAAGAACCTCCATATGGAGTTTGCTTTCATTGTGGCAAATTTAGCTACTGGGCAAGAAACAATGCTTGCCTTGACTGCTGACAATATGCTGCTGTCCAAGTTGGACAAGCAGGACACAAAAGAAGGAGACCGCCAAACTTTGCCAAGACAAGGTAGAACAGTCCTTCAAATTCCTGCTTCATAGAAAAGTCTGTCAGCTATTCTAGGCCTGTAGGCTGAAGATGGATACCCCAACATGGCAGAGGAACCTTGGGTGACTCTTCAGGCCACAAGATGCCTCTGTCATTTCTATAGTTTTGGAAATTGTTTTGCACTTCCTGTTTACTCAGGTAATGTTTATCCTTCTTGGGTCTCAGGTTTACAGACACAAAAGCTTAAGTTGTTTATTTAAGAAAATGTTTTAAGGCCTGAAAAGACATTTTTGCGTTGGTAATACAAGTTATGATAGAAAGTGGCTTAGGTACAAAGTTTTAGATTCATCAAGATAGGATAGATAATAGAGTATTTTCTCTGAATTTGCCAAATACATATGAACTGGACATTCTGAATGTAATTCTTACCTGATTATTGTTCTTATTGTAATACTTTTACTGTGTTAGAGTTAAACCCTTTACTTTTTATTAAATAGTAATAAATTTACTATTTAATAAGAACAATAGTGATAATTGTTCTTATTGTATATAGCTTTACTGTGTTAGTTAAACCCTTTCATTTTTATTTAGACAAAAAGGGAGAAATGTAGGATATTCGTACACTGTGTGAAGATGTATTGCTGTGATTGGTTTAATAAAAATCTGAACTACCAATAGATAGGCAGGAGAGGTTAGGCTGGACTTTCAGAGAGAACGAGGAACTCGGGGATGAATCTAGGCTTATGAGAGATGCCAGCAAGACACTGAGGAAGTTGGACATACAGAATAGAGGAGAGGTAAAAAGCCATGAAGCAGAATGTAGACTAATATAGATAGGTTAGTTTAAGATATAAGAGCTAGTTGGGAACAAGCCTAAGCTAAAGGCCAAGCTTTCATAACTAATAATAAGTCTCCATGCCATTATTGGGCGGCTGGTGGCTCAAAAGAAAAGTCCAACAAGAAAGGCCAACTATACACAGCATTGAGTCACTGAAGGTTGTTGTAAACTTTATGGTACTTTCCGTCTGCAAAACAGTGCCCAAAACATTAATAAGCATTCTGTAAATCATTGCCTAATAATTAGTATCATCAATAACATCAACACTTGGGATTATCTAACTTCCATTCGAGTGTGCTCTGTTTCTGATTTTTTTTTCATATTTTACATTTTATTTATTTTGTGATGCATGTGTGGGGGTGAAAATGTGACATTCAGAGGGCAACACACAGGAGTTTGTTCTCTCCTCCCACCATGTGGGTCTCAGGGATTGAACTAAGGTCAACAGATTTGGTGGCAGGCACCCTTAGCCACCGCGCCATCTCTCTAGGCCTTTTTCATATTTGATTGGTGTGTACTAATTGTAAAATAACAAATTCGGTTGTGAAGTTATATATTTATATATGAATTACTTTGGTCATCTTTACCCCACCTCATTACTCTTTCTTATTCCTCTTTCTCCCCTGCTGGCCCTTTTCCTCTTCCCAAACAGTCTCTCTTCTACATTCAAGCACATGAAAGAGAACATGCAGTATTTGTCTTCCTGAGTCTGGCTTCTTTCACTTAACATGATAATCTCTACTTTCCTGCAAACAACATGACTTTATTCTTTCTTACCACTGAACAATACTTCAGTGTGTGTGTGTGTGTGTGTGTGTGTGTGTGTATCACATTTTCCTCATCATATGTTGATGAATATCTAGGATGATTTTTATAACTGTGACTAGTACCATAATCAACATGAGTGTGAAGGTGTCTGTATCTCATGGCAGCTTTGGTTCCTTTGGCTGTATATCCAGGTAGATCACACGGTAGATCTACTTTTAGTTTTTGGTTTGGGAGATTATTTATATATTTTTTTAATGTGTGCATGCTTGCAAGAGAGTGTGCACATGTGTAGATGAGGGTTTTCACTGAGACCAGAAGAGGGCATTGGATCCCTTGGAGCTGAAATAGCGCAAGTTGGTAGTATGCTTGGCTTTTTATGTGGGAGGCTAGGATTTGAACTCCTGTCCTCATGATTGTTCAACAAGCCCTCTTAGCCACTGAACCATCTCCCCAGCATCCTGCTTTTAGTTTTTGTCTTTTGTCGCTGTTACTGTGTTTTTGAGAGAGGCCCGTACTGTTTTCCATGGTGGATGCACTAATTGGCGTGTTCTTGCTTTGTATTTTAACAAATAGGTAATTTGCTGATAAAGGCTTATCTGGGAGTTGCCAAGATACCCACTTTCCTTTACAGAGGAGAAGTCACTCAGTGGAAAGCATGGTTTGCTTCAAAAGCATAAATATTAACACGTTGGAGGATGCAGCTTGGCACTCTTTTTACAGCGATGTACGTTTTCAGTGCTGGAGCTGTGGTCAGTTGAGCCTTACGATGAGTTCATGCAGAACTGTGTGGTCTGGCCTCCTCACAGCCCAGGTCACAGCTTCCCTATGAAGATTAAAAACTTCTTTCATCTTCACAGTAAGCGCTCTGCAAATGCCCCGCCAGACGCTCTTGAGAGGATGAAATATACTCCTTTCCATTCTATGCAGAATAAACACAGCGATGCATGCTGATAAGCGGTTACTCTGAGCCCTAGCAGCAGGAATGCGGAGGGTAACGTGCCAATCATTAGGTCAGGTCCAAGGTGCTAAGAGCAGCAGTGAGGGGGATCCGGCTCCCACTCTGGCTACACACTCACTTTTCAGGAAGCTGGTCCTTCCCCTGTCCAGCAGGGTCTACCTGGGTGAATAGCGAATGGCAGAGCAATGAAAAGACAGCTGAACCTGGCTGTCTGAACATGATGTGAAAAAGACAAGTGGAACTCCAGTAGGAAAGACTTCGGTCACCAGTCACGGCCCTCAGTGTTCTTTACATAGTTAGCAGGCATTGTTTCTGACTGGTGGGTTGTTGTAATGGTGGTATGCGTCTTGTACTCGTCAACATTGGAGTGCCTCATTCTTACCCCATGTAACAGTTAACTTCTTGGAGAAAATCTCAAAGGCCAATTATTCACAAAGTGCTCCAGGAATGCTAAGGTGTTTCAAATCTGAGTGACTGGCACACTCAGGAGTTGTGAGATGTTTGTGATGCCGTGAGTCTCAGATCAACTTGAGAAGCACACGGTGAAACAAAAACCATTGGGCCTTTGCTCCGGGTTTTCTCGAAGCCTTTCTTGTACATGCACGGGCCGCCATGTGCACCTTCTGTGTTTACACTGTGGATTGTATATGTATTCTGCCCTGTAAATGTGGGTCTGTTATGTGGATAGCTGTTGGATGCGGTTTTTGTTTGTTTGTTTGGTGTATATACAGAGTATAAATAGGAAATCCTGTCTATTTAAATTTTTCAGATGGGCTTCTGAAGCTGTATTTTCATTTGCTGCATTAAAAAAGAAAGAGAGAGAGAGAGAGACAGAGAGAGAGAGAGAGGAAGGAAGGAAGGAAGGAAGGAAGGAAGGAAGGAAGGAAGGAAGGAAGAAAGAAAGAAAGAAAGAAAGAAAGAAAGAAAGAAAGAAAGAAAGAAAGAAAGAAAAAAAAAACATGCTTTCAGACCTGCTAGAACAGTTCCTTGCAACTGTCTTTTGTTCCTGAGAAATGTGTCTGGGTTTATATAGGAGGAGCTCCTATAAAGTGCACGTAATGCCCTATCACGTCCGTAGCCAACTTGAAGAGCATTCATCTGGAAACTGAATGATTAGGCCTTGATGTAAACAATGCTAGTTCCTTAGACAGTGTTCAGAGAGAAACACCGCACTAATGAAGGCATCCTGATCAGACCTCCAACATCAGCTCTCGATAGCAAACAAATTACGGACAAGAACATTTTCAAACACACTTGGAACAGCCATTCAGAAGTGGTCTCTGTTTTCATTTGTGTTTATTTCTTTCTCCTAACTGTAACGTAGACATTGCATAATAGTTCCTAAAACCCCCAGGATCCTCTAGTTCGTTTCCAGCTTGCCAACCCCATGAATCAGAGCGAGCCCAATGCCTTGATTTCCTCTCCCAGAACATCTCAGGGCACAGGCACTTACACTTTTCTTTCCAGCCTTTCTAATCTCCCAGCAACACCCAGGGAAGCCACAACAAACAGGGGCAGCCATGACCACTGTATTGAGTCCCTCTGCCCCGCATCTATCTCCCCCCCCCCCACTAAACGCACTTTGTGACTCTAAATCTGGTTCAACAATCTATCGCTAACGTTTTTTCAAGCTAATGGAAATTTCATTAACTCTAACGCTGAACAGCTTTGCTTTTAGCCCAAACACATTCATTATAACTATTCTTTTAAGACAATCCCAAGCTGTTCAGAAACTCAACACAGCTAATGAACTAGAACTAGATGAGAGAGAGTGAATTCTGCTTGAAAAACCCAGTGAACGTGTGAGGCGGCAATCTTCAGAACATGGAGTCCATAGAGAAAAATCACAATAAGAGGCTGCTGCTGCTGAGACAGACATGTCATCTGACGGCAGCAGCCACTGTCCCTCACTGTGGGTCTCCTCCTACGTTACACTGTGCTGTCCAATCTCTGATGCTGAAATAGACCCCATTTTTCATTCCTGGGTTACAGTTAAAAGGCCCCAGAAATGTTAAGCAATTTGTCATGGCCGAACAGGTGAGGTGTAAACACATTTTCACACATTCTATCCTGACGGGGAGACTAGATTAAATTTCTGTCCCTGTGAAGCAAATTCGCCACCAGGTTAGTGGCTGCAGACTAATCCATCCATCATCCTGTAGCTTTTTTGGCCTAGAGTCACTAGTCACTGCTCAGAGTCACACAAGCTGCAGAGCAGGCGTGGGCCCAGCTCTGCCGTTTCTGGCATATACCCTGTGTGGCATATAACTGCGGAGGCACCAGTTACTCATCTGGTGCCCTGGTCTTAGCTAAGGGCTATTCGGACTCCAGCAGACACCCCCCCCACCCCCCCCACCCCCCGCAGTTCTCTGTCACGTGGTACTTACTATTTCAAAGCCAGAAAGAGACACTTCTCTCCAGTTGGCTCCGATGGGGTCTAGCAATAAGAGCAAGGGGCAGCTAGTTCCCTCCCTGCCCGGTTTCTGTTTGTTAAACGCAGCTCAGGATTCTGTCAACACGCAGAAGGAAGGAATTTATACAAAGTGACTCATCAGACTTCATATTTTAGCTGTGCTTCTGTAGGTACTAATGTCCTGTTTCTGTTTTCTTTGTTGATGTGATGACTCATACCTGCCTCTCAGAAGCATCAAAGCATCCAGTCGAAGTTAACCCAGCAGACACTGAATTCAAGTAGACAACGTGGACCCGTAAGCCTGAGGTTTTTGTGTTTACACAAAACCTGTGATTTCACTGCTGAGTAATTTGAGGGCAGTGTTAAATAAATTCCCAGTCAGTGAAGAATTTACCTTAGCGCTAACTAATTGGTCTAAAGACCAATTTTCCAGTGGCCAGTTTATGTATGAGTGAAGTTATTTTAAAATAAGTAAGGACCACTTGAGAGCTGAGTTATTCCGGCTAGTAATCAAACCAACAGGGGATGGTTTTACCAGGCTGAAACTAACATGTACAATGGTTGTGTCCTCCAGAATGGGTATTTGTAATCACCCAACTACTCAGAAGCATAACCATGGATGGGACCATCACAGGACAGCTCTTCTCAATGCAGTACTATCCTGGCTGTGCTAAGCAAGTCCTTCCGGGTTACAGAGGGAAACATATACAAATTATTAGTGAATATAAAATGTCATTACAAAGAGGTACATCCAGCAGAAGGAGGTGAGATCTGCAGCACAAGTATCCAATGCACCCAGGTTCAGAAACAGCCGGTGATGCCTGCTTACTGTCACCTCAGCCACGGATAGCCATCCATGGAGTGGCTGACCTTCTCTATGGTCATCTTACGTGCTCTCTTCAATGAGGCTCTAATCGGGTCAGTCAGCACAGCAAGGTACAGAGAGATTCTATGAATATAAGTTCTACTGATATCATAAAGTGATTAGCTTCATCCCTACCCACAGGAGGGAGGGAGTCGACTTCTGAGCCTGGTCTTCAGGCGGCAGTGAGTTAACCAGAGCCTCTGATCCCCCAAAGAGCCTGGCACAGCTAATTAGTGGTTGCAATACCGTGGCAGAAAGCAGGAGGGTTGTTCAACCAAGAGATGTGAAGTGAGGCCTTCACAGATGTCTTAGGGCTGGGCAGATGGCGCAGTGGGTAAAGATGCTTGCTGCCCAAGCCTGACAAGCTGGGTTTGGATCTCCAGAACCCTGGTAAAAGCTGCACAGTATAGCACAAGTGCCTGTAATCCCAGAATGCCTCTCTGTAGATCTCCCTCCAGGGAAGTAGAAACAAGAAAATGTCCAGATGAAGGTGGAAAGGTGAGGACCAACACCCAGATGTTGCCCTCAGACCTCCATGCACACACCTGCATCTGCCCCTACACACACATCATACATGCACATAACACACACACACACACACACACACACACACACACACACACACACAATATCTTAACATCCTGAGGTGGTTTGAATGTAATCACCACCATAAACTCAGGGAGTGGCATTATTAGAAGGTGTGGCCTTGTTGGAGGAAGTGTGTCACTGTGGATGCGGGCTTTGAGGTCTCATATATGCTCAAGCCACACCCAGTGTCTCAGTTCACTTCTTGTTGCCTTAAAATCAAGATGTAGACTCTCAGCTCCTTCTCCAGCACCATATCTGCCTGCATACCGCCATGTCCCACCATGATGATAATGGACTAAGCCTCTAAACTGTAAGCCACCTCAATTAAATGTTTTCCTTATAATAGTTGCTGTGGTCATGGTGTCTCTTCACAGCAATAGAAACCCTAACTAAGACACATCACTTTCATCCATGTGATTCAAAGGAAGAAAGTATATCCCAAACATTATAGAAACATTTAATCTGAGGCTGGGGACATGGCCCAGTGGTAGGGCACATACTTAGCCAATGTGTAGCCTTGGACTTGACATACAGCAGAATACACACACACACACACACACACACACACACACACACACACACACACACACACTTTGAATGTCATTGACTCTTGAAAAATCTCCAGGAAGATGAAAAGCTGAATATGAAAGAAAAACACATGGATGAGAACATGTTACAGTGTTGTTTACAATAGCCCCAGTAAGAAACAAACGCCTAACAACAGGGATCAAAAATAAAGCACACCAATTCTTACATGGGAAAGATGATATAATTAGAAGAAGTGATGGAGGTAGAGAGAGAGAGAGAGAGAGAGAGAGAGAGAGAGAGAGAAAGATAGATAGATAGATAGATAGATAGATAGATAGATAGATAGATGATAGATAGATAGATAGATAGATAGATAGACAGATAGATAGACAGATAGACAGTGTGCTGGTTTGAAAGAAAATGGCCCCCAAAGGGAGTGGCACTATTAGGGGGTGTGGCCTTGTTGGAGGAAGTGTGTCACTATAGAGACAGGCCTTGAGGTCTCATATAAGCTCAAGCCACATCCAGTGAGACAGACCACTTTCTGTTGCCTGAGCAAGATGTAGAACTCTCAGCTACCTCTCCAACACCATGTCTTCCTGCATGCCACCATGTCCCACCATGAAGGTAATGGACTGAACCTCTGAACTGTAAGCCAGCCCCAATTAAATGTTACCCTTTATAAGAGTTGCTGTAGTCATGGTTTCTCTTCATAGCAATAGAAACCCTAACTAAGACAGACAGATAGATGAATAGACAGATAGTGTGGTGGTTTGAAAGAAAATGGCCTCCTTTTCTTTAGATAGGATAGATAGAATAATGCTAATATGGAATTATTATTGTATATATTATATTCTATATAATATATTCTAATTCTAATATAGAATATTATTATCTATATTAATGCTAATATTAAGAGCCATTGCTGTAGGGAGGGTGAAGCCATGGGAGTATATAGCAAGAGAGGATGAGAAAAACAGAGGTAGATTTTTGGAAAATACAATTAATTAAGAAGTACAAGTGTTCTGGCTGAACTACAAATTAACGCATTCAAGACCAGCATCCTCATATGATGGTTTGGTTGCCAGAGCCTTTGGGAGATAATCATGTTGGCATGAGGTCATGACAATGGTTCCCTCATGATGACATCATTATAAGAGACACAAGAGAACCTCCCTCCCTCCCTCCCTCCCTCCCTCCCTCCCTTCTTCCTCTCTCTCTCTCTCTCTCTCCCCCTCCATCCATCCTATCCTCCCTCCCTCTCTACTATGTAAGTATGTGCCAGGAAGCTGGCTGCTTGGCTATGTGCCATGGAGAGCTCCCTCATCAGAAACTGAACGTTCTGCCTGACTCCTTGACCTGGATGTCCAGTCTCTGAAACTATGAGGACATAAGCTGACAAAGTCACCCATTCCATGTTATTTTGTTATGGCTGTGTGAATGAACTAACACCCTTCTAAAAAGGGCCATTTTTTCATAGAAAAGGAAAGGGAGGTATTAAGACTTGAGGCTGAAACACAAGATAGTGATTTAAAAGAGAGACAGAGAGAATAAGAGAATGAATGGGGGCAAGCTTCAGGAAAGTAAGAAGGATTAATTGGAGGGAAAGCTGTTGGTTAAGCTAAGCTGGATGGAAGGCATTTCAAAAGATTAGAGCAAGCAACACTCACAGTAGCAGAGAACACAAGAGTAATTGCCAGGGACAGGGTGGATGGGAAGGGAAGCACAGGCCGAAGGGTGTGAGTTCTACTTAGATGGGATAAAGACGTTCTCCCATATACTGGAAGAGCAACCGGAGAGTAGATCTTACGGATCCTTATCGTGAAAATACGAGTGTCTGAGGTAAAAGGAACACTCATTTGCATGATCCTGTCATCTCACAAGGTACCCAAATCAAAACGTTTTAAAAATCAGAGTTATCACAGCAAGCAAGAGGTGCTCTGTTTTCTTTTGTTCTTATTATTATTATTGTAACCCTGGCTAAGTTAGAAGTCAACGTGCCATCCAGCTTGTACCTGACAGAGGAAGTGGCACACTGTGCCGGGATAAACAGCACTTCAGGACCTGATGGAGGAGATGGCACACAGTGCCCGGATAAACAGCACTTCAGGACCTGATGGAGGAGATGGCACGCAGTGCTCAGATAAACAGCACTTGAGGAAAGCTGCCTGGAAAGGGAAGAGTACAGTGCGGGGCAGCTGGCCGAACAGCAAAAAAAACAAATGGGCCAATTTTAGAATGAGTGAATGATGGAGTAGACATTTCTTAAAACAGGAAATCCAAATGGCCAACAGCTATGTAGAAAAAACAATATAAGACGACAAAACAGCAAATATTCAGCTCCTCTAATCATCAGAGACACGCAGATCAGAATCACTATGGCGTAGTCTTCCGTTCTAGTTAGGAAAACCTTTTAAAAAGGTTTCAGTTGAAATAGAATTACATTGCTCCCCGTCTCTTCCTTCCTTCCAGCTTCCCCCAGCTGTTCCCTTGAATCCCTCCTAGGTTCCCCGACTCTGAAGATGAGAATGTCCTGTTCTTTGGATATTACTGCTACAAGTACACACATATGCATGGATGGATGGATGTGTGTGCACAAATACATATAAATACAACCTGCTGAATCTCATTTTGTTGTTTGTGTGTATATGGTTTCATGGCCAACCATGGGTTGCACAGCCAATCTGGGACTCACCCCCAGAACAGGCTATTTCCCCTTCTCTCAGCACCCATCATTTGCCTGTAGTTCTCTGTCTAGGGCAGGAATTCTTAAAACTGCCCCCATTCCATGTTAGCATGTTCATTGATATTGCCATTGTTCCAATCTTATTTATGCAGCCATTTCTAGGAGAGACTGTCTCACAGTAGACTTCCTGGAATTCTGGCTCATATAGTCTTTCCACTTCCTTTTCCACAAGGTTCCCTGAGCGATAGACGCAGGACCTGTGGTATAGATGGATCCACTGGGGCTGGGCATCCCCAAATCCATTGATCTCTCCACTGTGTCCAGTTGTGGTTCTCTGTGACGCTCCCCAGTGCCTTGGATGAGGGATGGTGGTGACACTGATCTGTGGGGATAAGGGTAAGATTTAGAATTTAGTTAGGGGTTAGGCTGGGCAGTAGTAGAAAAGCTTCTTAGCAAAAGGAATATGCTGGCCTGCATGTGGAGAATGGGGACTCTCATACACTCTTGGTGGGAAAGTAAATCAGGGTATCAGTTCTTCGGAAAAAAAAAAAAAAGATACGGGACTCCCATATTACCCAACAATCCCATTAGT